GCAAAACACAAAGCAGGAAGTAATGGCTTCTCTTCTGAATTCCTCAAGGGAGTCTTCAAGCTATCCTGGCAAAGGGCTGTGGGCCAGTGTCAACCTGGGATCTGCTGGTCTGCTGCCTCCAGCAGAAAGAAGGCTGGCCTGGATGTCATTGGCATCAGCCTGTGGTGGGCAGTGACAGTCTTAATCATGCTCAGCTCAAGAAAACTCTTAATAGTGATTTTACACACCTACACATTTACAGAGCAAGCACATTCCTAAGCTGTCCTATTGAAGTCTTCTTTAAATGTTGCTTTTCTGTGACAGTGTCATTTATGGACCTCTCATTCCGCCCCCCCCACACACCCCGAGCAACAGTGACACAAAAATCCTCAAATCAATTACCATTCCCATCTCAATGGACACCTCAAACAGCAACACCAACTCCTACAACAAAGCCATATGACTCTGGTAGAAAAGGTAGCAGCACTGCTTTTGACAACAACACATCTGAGATGTAACAAGCGTTTATTATTATTACTATTATTATTATTTTCCTTGGTCATGTCCCCTGAGCTACACCTGATATTCTGTATGATACACAGTGTCAAGAATTGCAAAGAGAAAAGAGAGAAAGAAGTGCAGAAAGGGCACAGTTTATGATGGCTTCTCTTTATTTTACATAAAACAAGATTTGCTTCTATGGCATTTTATATAAATTTCTGGCTAAGTATTAGGTGTATACTGCCTGGCTACAACCCCATGCAAATAGGGTTTATGACATCACATGGGCATGGACATGTATGTGCCAGGAATATAAGTGATGTAAAATCAGGGAGGAATTTCATACATACATGGCTTCATAGATGCATGCCAGTGACCATATTTTCAAGTTTCCTGATATTTTAACTAGAATATTCCACGATGAGCCAGATATCTTCTGTCCAAATATGAGCCTTGGCAGGAACACTTGTATATTTTGATGTTAGGCATAGAACATTTCTGTATTGTAAACTATTATGATCAAATAATTTTCACCAATCACCTCGCAAGCTTGCTTATTTGCCCAAATCCCTACAGAGAATTGAATTTGTAGAACATTTTGAATACAAAAAGAATACAGGAAGAAAATGTGTGGAATACAGTGGCAGTGCCTCCCACAACCTATCAGAATTCTGTACTCATGTCCCTCCTCCCAGATCTCCACATTACATATTATCTTCATTGCTCTCCTGAAGAATTACTGAGCATGAATTACCTGCTCACACTTACTCCATAAAGAGAAATAGACTTCTTTAGGAAGGCTGGGATCTATTAAGATTATAGCCACCTCCTCAACTGCTCATTGGCTCCTACAAAAACATCGCATGTGAAGAGAGACAGAGAGAGACAAAGAGAGAGTAAGAGACAGAGAAAGGGATGTACGTGACCGCTTACATGCTCATCTACCATTTTTCCCAGGTTCTGCTGACTTAATCCTGAATTAATGAGCCTGTTACATGATATCTAATAAAAATGACTGCAACAGAGATACTGCTTGGAATCTGCCACATATTTGGTCCAAGGCTGAATCGATTTCATCTATATTTAACACATGCTTGTTTTCTGTCTCACTTGTCTCCCCCACAGCCCATGGCTCAACTCTTTTTTTTTTTTTCCATCTGGAAAACTTATCTCCTAAAATGCTACCATCAATCAGCCAAAGACACTCTTCCCGACAGAGCGTCTGCCAGTCTGACTAAGCACAAGTAGTCTCTAGTTTGGGGATGCCTCCCACACTCTCTAGCGCCGTGTGTTTTTCTAGCCTGCCTAACCACACGAGTGCAATTTGGGATATTTATACTTACCTCCAGTTTCTATTGGGATAACAGCATTACTTTGACAGAACTGAGCATAGGGCATGGTGGGGGGTGATATGGGACGGCATGGACGTTGCCTGTGTTGCTTATCTACCTACTTTTACATTTATTTCTTTGGATTTTTGCATTTCCACCCATTTTGGTCTGCATTGGCTCAGCGCCTGCTCAAAAAGCATGAAAATCAAATGCTTACAAAAATGCATACATTTAGTCCCCCCAAATCTTCCCCAGACACCAGTGCTGTTCCCATTTCCAAGCCCTTCCTTGTCCACACCACTCCCAATACATTCAAGCCTCTAAGTTTAAATACAGCATGAAAGAAGGGGCAGAAAAGAAAGCAAAAGTAAGGTTGGCAGCAGAAGCCAAGCACTGGGAGAAGGGAAGGAAAAAGGGGGAGCAGGAGACAGGCGGCCCCCTCCCTCTCCCACAAAGTTCCAGTCGTGAACACACCCACTGGCCACAGCAAACAGCACTGTGCGTGGGCACAGGTGGGTCCCAGCCTCCCTGCTTGGATGCAGCTTAAGCGCTGAGCCTGAATGAAGACTTTCATTGCTGTTTGCTGTTTTTGTTGGCCAGTAGCCATGGCAAACATTTGCAGGTGGCTTGGCCAGATTTTGACACTTAAATATTTGAGGTTGTGATAAAAATCAGAATATTACTACAATATGGTTCTGTGCAGTCTCAAAAAAAAAAATATCTGCAATTTCAAATGCTCATTTAAAGACACAGTCTCCAGAGGGAACTCATGTTTTAAAATAAGTACTCATTTCCTCTTTGCTGGGAGAAATAAAAGAGTCAACCATCCCCAAATGTTACCACCTAGAGTTTCATTCTGAATCCACTGTGAGATGGGTTGGGTTGTTCCTTGCTGAGTCCCCATGGTCATCCGGGCAAGGTTTTGGATGGGTCACATGGAGAAAATGGAAATGACAGGATGTGTGGGTTGGAATCAACATGGTAAGCACGACAGGGAAGGATCTGAAGAAAAGCAGCAGCCTCCCTCAAGCTTGGCAATAAGACAGAGTCCCAAAAGTGACAATTATCTCCTAGAACACACCAGGAGAGACACACAACACCCCAGGATTGGGAGTAAATGAGAAGATGGAGTGGGTTGGGAGGTCACATGTACCAGAAAAACACTCCCACTCATCCAGGCACAGTGACACAGCCTAGAAATGTCACCCAACTGTACAGCCCTGGGCCAGCTGGGTAAATTATTGACAGAGTCAACACCCATCTTAGAATTGAGTGCTAACCCTTAAAAGATTGTTTCACAAAAACCAGCATTGTACTAACAATACTAAGGACCTCCAAGAGGGTAGCTGGGGTGGGGGGAGGGGGAGGCAGGAGAACTCCAGGGGGGGAGGAATGTTATAAAACTGCTAGTAAACTCCAACACATTTTATGTTTTTTTCCCCTTGAAAGAAAAATAAAATAATTATAATTAGCTGGCCTAACTGTGAATTGTCTGCCCAAAGCCAAACCACTAGAGTGAAAGAGTCCCTTGAAATTTAGATGCTGTCTTTAAAGAACCCACCCCACTCTCCTAGTGTATTATAGGTTCTTGCTTTAGATGGTGGCAATATCTGCCCCCATAGTCATTTGAAAAGAAAAGAAATATTTAACAGGGATACTAGCTAATTTAGTATTGGTTTCTTCCAACAAAGCCAAGCATTCAAATGGCCAGAGTAATATTCTGTTTCTTAAATGGGAAACCAAATGTACGCACCCATGAAAGACTCACAAAACAGTCATTGCCCACAGCTCTCTTTTGTTAAGATGGGTCTTCGTAAATCACAACCCATCTGGTAAGTTGAGAAATGTGAGAGACAAGGTTCCCCGCCCCCCTTCTAGGGCATTCTAAGGAGGAATAAGCCAATGTTGTTCCTGGTGTTCACTCTTGATCTGAAATCCTTACAAGCATTAAAAAAAAGGGGGAGAGGAGGTTAGCGTATGGCTGGCTTAATCGGTAAAGCATGCAACTCTTAATCTTGGGGTTGTGAGTTCAAGCCCCACGTTGGGTGTAGAGGTACTTAAAAATAAAATCTTTAAAAAAAACAAAAACAAAAACAAAGGGGGAAAGACACAGTGGCAAATTGTCAGGCAGCTTCTAATGGGTTTTTTTTTAATCACCATATCCAATATTCAACTGAATATTCACACTAAATTCTGATGCACATACTAAACACCACAAGCTCCCTTTCCTATTTTAAAGAGAGAATTCTGGGAACATACAGCAAGCAGTTCTCAGCTTCCAGCAATATAAATTTATCAGAGCACTTTGGCTTAAGTTACTACCTTTTCTTCCTAAGAACCTGACTGCTCTTAAATCTTTTATTTCCTCTTCACTCTGCTCTTGTAAGGGTGGAAAGAAGACACACCACCATCAACCTGAAGGTAAGGAAGCAGGCCAGAGATTCTGCATTTCTGAGAAGCTAGCGGGTCATGCCCAGGCTTCGGGTCCTCAGACCACACTCCGAGTAGCCAGGGGCTAGAGTTGTCTCCTGAGACTCAGAAGTGAAAATTCAGAGTGTCTGGGATTCTGATAGGAGCTTTCTACCAATTTTGCTCAATACCACAGTATTGTCTTTTTTACATAAATGAGGGGGAAACAGCTTACTTTCTTTTTGTTTTGTCTACACCAGGAATGAGCCTGGACCAATACAGAGGAAGGGGAGAGCTAATAAAGAGGTATTAACAAGGAAAAGAAGGAAGAATCATCGGAGGAAGGAAGACTGGTAATACATGAAAAACCCAGGGGATGTGCTTAGCAGATCTTAGGAAAAAAGGGACACACTCTGTTGGGGAGGAAAGTGGGCTGGTGAAACTTCCCTCTATCATCCTTAAGCATTTGTCCTGGAAACTATGCTCTGCTGTCCATAACACCCAAGGCGTTTTCCACAGTCACAAATCTTGTCTGAAGAAATGATGACACAGAATGACTTGTTTTGCCCCCCAAAGTCCAGGATCAAATAGTCTCCACCAAATGGGGGCTCCCCTCCCTTCTCCCTTTAAAAGCATCACTCTAAGTGCCAGGTGATCTCACGTCAACCAGGAACATCAACTTCTCTCTCATCCAGTCTGAGCACCAGAAACAAGAAGAAAGTCGAGAACATTCTCTGAGCTCCAGCCAGGCCCCAGAGACAGCCGAGGAAGTCTCCTTACCCGATCTGGCGGTTGGTAGAAGGTGCCTGGGTGATGACAGAGCTGGACTGGGGTGACGGCATGGCTTGCTGAATCACAACGCTGGTGTCATGGTTGGGCATCCGGGTGCTGCCAAGCTGGTGAGCTCCGGGCCCCGCCATGGCCCCACCAACTGTGTTATGCATCGAGATATTCTGCCCAGAGAAGACAGAGGGGAAGGTCAGAAGAAGTCAATGTTTTATTGTACTCTCAAGCTCTCAGAGGACAAAATTAGGAATCTGGTCATGTCAACTAAATAAAGAGTTATGGCTTCTGGCAAGCCATGGATCCATCCATCTTGTTATAACTTAAAACTATGAGCAGATGAAAAATAACTATTTACCCTAACAGTAAAGCACATAAGAAAATACCTTGAAGTTCACTAATCACTCTGTCGCCATCCTGATGTGAGGTTTATATCAGAGACATTTGGTGCATATCTTCTCTGAATTGGTGTGATATATACTGCATTTGAAAATGATTTCCATGGTAAGCGCACAATACTATGATTTAGTGAAGAACTGCTCAGCATCCTGCTTTGAATGACACGCACACTGGGTTATTGTTTCTTTTTCAGTCCTATGAGAGTGGCCAACGACCTACTTTTTTTTCCCCAGGAAACTACTACTTTTCCAAATCGTAATCTGGGTACTCATGACCCAAGTTCAACTACCTGGAGAGTGAGGTTGGATGACTGGAACAGACGATCGGGTATCTGGAATCCAATGCCAAGGGCAAAAGTTGCAACTTTCTGCTGCATGTCCATAAAATCAATCTCTAACAATTTTTATGGAATAATGGAATACAGAACAATGACTGCTTATTCATTTACTTGTTCACTGTCTTACTCTAGAAAGTAGAATGTTTGTGTTCATAACTCTCTCTCGTGGTGCTTGGAACACAGTAGGCACTCAGTAAACATACACTGCATGAATAAACTAGTGAAGGCATAAATGAGACATCTGAGTCACTTAAGGGAACTAATATCATGTGTTTATTTCTGATGACTTGAAAGAAAGTTTCTTTGTTTAAAATGCAAAAGCAAGGTAAAACATGCAAGGTAAAGCTGTCTTAAGAGACAGCTCTTCCTAGAAAAAAAGTTCCTGGGACAAAAGAAGAGGATTCACATGGGGGCAGAGGAAGTCTCATCAACATGGCGGAGCTAAAAGGTGAGAAATTCAGAGCCTAGAAAAGAAAGGGAAAGTACAGGGTAAAGCCAAGTAAGTAAGTGGGCCTCTGTAAATAGCTAAGCACAGCTCCTCAGCCTAGAAGGGTAGTGAAATTCGAGAGGTCAGTTGGACAATGGGGTTGAGGATGGCAGGAAAGAAATGGAGTGTCACTAGCAATTTACTAGAGGGAAAATATATATCTGTCTGTGCTTTGGGGTTAGCAAAGAAAAAAATAAATGTTACCCAGGAGAACCAGAAGTGGTTCTTTGAAGTTCTTCTGCAAAGAACAGGATTTCCTGCACTATGTGTTAAATGATGGTGATAACATATATGGTATTTGGGGTGGTTGTGTCCATCACATTGCACCTTTCCCAGATTTCTGATTTCTAAATCCTGACCACACAGTTTGTCAGGAGTCCAGATGGAAACTGGGCACCTGGTTTAGACCGCGAGCCGACTGTGTTATCGTGGGATCCCAGAGGCATGAACAGGCTTTTATACACACACGTGGTCCAAAGGCTCCTCTTATACACTGGAAGGTTTCTCGGACGTGGGAAAATACTGTGGTTGGTTAAAGCAAGATGAAAGGAAATGGTGATTTGTGTTGGAGTGGCAGTGTAGGGATATGCTTAAGTTCTTTTTATAGGGCCTGGAAACATAGAGAATTGAACTAAAATAATAATGAAAATAAAGCTAATTGTGTTACTTCTTTTAAAAGTGAGCCTTAACAAACATATTTCCCTGGGTCTTAATGAGGCCTTGATGAAGTCAACGATTACAAATATCTTTTTTTCCTCTGTTGTTTGGATTCCTCGGAGATACTCAACAATTTTTCATCCTGCTCAGAGTCACCTACTTTGCCAATAATAGATCTGAGGCACAGAAGGATTTCATACTTCCTTTTTAGAATTATTTCTGTTGTGCTGTGCTATCAGGGATTATGAGTACAGCTACATAATCTAAAATTTAAAAATAATAATCTTTAAATTGCCAAAGAAGGATATAAAATGTATGAATCCTCCTTGAGTTGCCCTTGATACCTCTTTTCCATCACCCCCATATGCAGTCCCCTAGTATTGCAAATTCAACCTACACATCCTTCATCTCTTTCTATCTTTCCATTTCACCTTCTGCCAACCTACACCCAACCAGCATCGTCTCCTTTCCTGGACTAGATAGTAGTCTCCTAACTGATCTGTCACTCACTATGGCTTCCCTTTCTCCTTTTGCCCATACACAGCCACAGTGATCTTTTCGAAAGACAAAACTAATCACATTATACAATTCTCCTTACCCAACCACACCCTCCTACCCCCACCCGACAAGCTTCTTAGATGGCTTTCATGGTTCAGAAGACACCGAGAGCACTCTTTGTGTGATCTACAAGGCCTGTAGGGGACCCTTCCTACCTCCCAGCTCATCTCATGCTATTCTCACTCTTGCTCTCTGCTCTTCACTCCACCTTTCTGGCATGTTCTTGCCCTCATACTGCCCGTGCTCCATTTCAGCACAGGGGCTTGGGATATGCTGTTTTCTGCTACCTGGGCCCTCCCCTGACTCGACCTTCAAATCTCAGATTAAGCATCATGTGAGGAAGACTTCCCTGACCTCTGTAGTGATGGGGACCCTCTCCTTCGCAGTACTTTTTACAAGTTCACAATAGTTTTGGTTTGATTAACACGTCTCTTCCTAGAGAACATAAGCACAATATGAGAAGAGACTAAATCTGATTTTACTCCCCATTGCCTCTGTTGCCTAGATCAGTGCCTGGAATATAGTAAGTGCTCAACAAATACTGAGTGAGTGAGTAAACTATAAAATGACATTCCTAAAATATTCAGTATGAGGGGGTCTTTTATTCCCTGGTCGATTTTTGAGAGTGCTAACTTTTTGTTTATTGAGATCTCGAAGTATGCTCACGGTAATAGAGTTTTAGATATTAAGGTACTTGTTTGGTTATGGGCTAGAGAAATAGAAAGGACCAGAGATAAGAAGAAACCCACAAACATGGGATGTAGACTGGAAGTAAAACCTTTGAGAAAATATTAAATGAGCTCTTAGAGGAAGATGTCAAGAACTGAGCTCTGAATCTTTGAGCACTTTGGCTCAAAGGTTGGCAACAACAATTCCATCTCCACCATGAAAACTAGGAAAAACCGATCTGTGCTGTAGCACAAAGAAGTTGGTTTGATTTCTTCAGAGGGAAGTGTGTTAAATCAAAGAAAGAACAGCCTCTTTAATGAGACTCATTAAAAAGAATTTTAAAAACTATGCAGGACTATACCTCACATCCTCTCCCACCAACATTTAAGACATCTCTTTGTCTCTGTGATCCCCACCTGAGATGGAAAAGGCTCCTAAAAGTTGTATTCTAATTCTTCAATAATCTTTTTTTCTACCACACATGAAATCCACAAATTCTCCACACTCCCTCCCCCAGACCCAGAGAGTAATTTCAAAACGTTTTGGAAAAATAAACAATTAGGCAAGCATTATCATTTCACATTAAGAGAAGACGATTTTTTTCCCCTTTAAGCATTACATAGTAACTCAAACATGAAATTATTTTCTGAGTTCACATTTTCCCAATTATGGGTTCAAAACCTGTCTTCATTGATAAAAGAATGGCATTTTACCTCTGGATAAATTAAATATCCAATTTCAAAAACACAACGAGTGACCACATCTTGCGGAGTTATTTTTGCTAGTACAGGTGCAGAGATTTAGAGCTGATGAAACAGTGTCACCAAACCAGCGGATGGGGGTCAATATACAGGGAAGGATCAGAGATGTTCCTCGAGGCTCAGACTATGGACTTCTCTTGTTCAACATTTTTATCAACAGCTTGGATGAAGATGTAAAAATCATGCTTATCAAATCTGCAGTTGACACAATGTTGGGAGGCATAACTAATGTTCTGGGTAGTAGAGTCAGGTTTTACTTGAGCCAAATTTGTGATCTGGCCTTCAAAAATGCTAACATAAATCTAGGTTGCTGTAGGAGAAGTACAATGTCCAGATCAAGGGAAGTAATTATTCCACTGTAGAGCACGTTGAACTGACCACATTTGGCCACCACATTTTAAGGGGGAAATTGACAAATAGGAGGGAATGAAAGCAATGAAGGCATCCAAAATGCATTACAAGAAGAACTATAGAAGAATCAGGGAATATTTAGTCTGAAGAAGAAAAGACTTAGAGGGTCATGCTAACTGCTTTCAAATATTTGTGGGATTAGACATAGTCTATGTTACTCCAGAGGGCATAATTTCAAAAAAATGGGATCATGATGATAAAAGTCAATGATGACTATAATTTGAGTTCTTATTTTGAAGCAACCACCATGGTAGATGCTCTATAAACTGCACCTCTAATCCACACAATGACACTACACGGTCAGCATTATTATTATCCTCATTTTAAGATGATAAAGAGAGTAAAATTCCTCACCATCACTAAAAATATGTCATTCACCTCTGGCCACCCTCACTCCTTCTGGACTGATCTTTTAAAAATACAAGTTTGACCTTTTGTCCAAAGGCAAAACAAGGTGCCTTGTAAAGCACTGAGTTTTGTGGCATCAGAGTTAAGCCAGTAGAGAATAGTGGCCATCTGTCAAGGATGTCACCAAGAGGATTTCTGCATCAGGAGGGAGATGGCACTACATGACCTCCAAGGTCTCTTCTATTGCTAAGACTCTCTCACTTATGATCCATGGTTCATACTTTGGCTCAGTGTTTCTAGATGATTAGTAATATGTGATAATGTTGGAAATATACTGGCTTAGGTCTGTTCTAGTCCTGGCTCTCTACCCCTCCTTGCAGCCATGTAACCTGGATAAATCACTCGACCTCCCTCAGCTCTGTAGCCTCATCGCTAAAAGCAGGGGGCTGGACTACCTGGTTTTCATGATTGTTTCCGGCTCTGATACTCCACAAGTCTCTCTCGATGTTACATTTTATGAGACCTTAAATATCCAAACAGACT